AGAATGGAATTGCTGGAATAACCCTAGAGATACTGTGTGTAGGTTAATCAAGGAGGTGATACATTCATTATTCCAGATTTTTTGAGAATTTCTCTACTCGTTTCCATGAAATAAAAATATGATTATCATTTCAATGTACGTGTAGTAAGGACAAATCAGATGATTAGCTCCAAAATGTCACTGATGCGTTCAATGAATTTTCCTATCAGAGAGAGAAAGTGTCAAGATGAATATGAATTTGCTATACAATTACCTATCATTTTTATGTTGGAAATGGGAGCAGATTAGTTCCCGCAACGACTGAAGCTGAGTGGGAATTTGATATTTTTTATATATACCTTAATTTCTCTTCTACAAACCTTTTTCAATACAGATTGTCACTGACAAGCTTTCATGCTCTCTGATAGGAAAATAATAGAAAAAACGAAAGATGAAATGGATTTCCTGAAATGAGGAAGTGCCTCCTAGCAACATATTTGATGTACCAAATCTCAGAAATATAGCTAGAAAACCAAAGGACACAAGGGAGATATACCTTGAGTTTGTGTCACCCGGTATATATATATATTTGTAATAGATTTAGTGTAAAAAACGCACAGGAAATAATTTTCCGGGGCTAATTCCACATCACCATGGTATGAAAATACCACATGTGTTTCGAAAAATTCATAAACACATAATGTGAAGTTGTTTTCGCAGAATTTATATTATGTTCAATATAATAAAGGTCTACACTATTGACCCTTGACTCTTTTCTCGAAATATCTTCCAAAGCTTCAAGTTGTCGGATATTTGAAGCAGTCAAAGTGTTGATCAGCAGATGAATGCCAGCTTTGAACAAGTGAATGTCAGATTTCCAAAAGATGAATGTTAGCTTTCATCGAGAGGATTTTGAATGCAACTAGTGAACAACATTTTCTTGTTCTTTCGAGGTGCAAGGATGCATTTATTGACAGCTGACAGCTCTGATCATGATGTTATGTGTTGAATGCATTGCTGATCTGAGTCGTGATGCTCTGAACTTCCTGATTATGAGTTATGACTGACTGTGAAGGTTCAACATTTACATTATGAAATAAGGGGATTATTCAACGGATGAAATCAGATTTTGCGATTCTTGATCACCAGGAATGCTAAGGTGATTACTCTCAAACACTACCACACCAATGTCGAATAATTCTGCTGGATAATACATTCCATTCATCACAGTCAATCAGATCAATCCATTTCAGAGTTATCATTCGCTGGTATTTAACTGATCTGAAGATTGCACGCATAACACTTCAAGACACCAGCAAATCATGATTAACGACCTACCTATTGATTTTTCTATATTAAGGTCACTTCCTCGTAGCCCCGTAAACCATGAATAAACATATTCTCTGGGATTGCATTCTTTCATTTCACATTATTCGTCGAGAGAAATACTACTATTATCGTATAATAATTTGTGACTTGTTTTTCCACGCATAGGTACATAGTTTCAATACAGAAATAGAATGATTTTGTTGATTATTTACCTACTATTTGTATATCTAGCTAAGAGGTAACAGGAGAATGTAAAATCCAATGTTCTGCGTGGCATATAGGCAGGAGAGTAGTTGCTTTTCTCTCGTTATCTTCTATTTTCATTTATTTCATGAACTATTGTGGTAATGACTTTGAGTTTCTCTCTTTTTGTAAGGTAACTAAGCTGTACTATGAGCTTCCACCTGATGAGATATTATATAACTATGTATGCGTGGACAAACAAGTCACAAATTATTATACGATAATAGTAGTATTTCTCTCGACAAATAATATGGAATGAATATAACTACCAGATGATTTGGCAAGGTGGCGGCTCACCTCCATAACTTTTTTATTATTTGATGGATGGACAGATGGATGTATATAATAGTTTAATTGATACTTCTCGACATATCTAAATACTTGCTTTTGGGAACTGTAGCTGATTCAACATCAAGCGGAAGAATATGCTTTCAGAAAAAATTGGACTATTTGGAATGAGAGGATTACCCCACACCTCATTCACTAGTTATTTATCCGGCAGGAAACAAAAAATATTCGTCAACCATGAATACTCCAAATCAGAAGTATTGTATCTTGGTGTGCCTCAAGGCTCTGTGCTGGGACCGCTTTCATTTGTTTTCACTATGAACGACTTCCCAAACTTTATGCTACTCATTTAAACTATCCTTTTTGCTGATGACACAACCATTATTGAATCACATGAAGATTTATGTTTGACACTTTGAAAACAAGCGCTAAAGAGCTTGCTACATTTTGGTTTTCAGTAAATAATCTCAAACTCAATCCAACCAAGACCCAAAATTTAGATTTTTTTATCGATAACCTGATTTCTAGTGATGATTCTGCGAAAATATTGGATATAATCCTAGATGAGAAGCTTTCGTGGTTTACTCACATATTAAAAGTACGAAGCTAGTTGGCACGAAATGTCTTCCTTTTTAGACAACTCAGGTAAATAATTAGCTTTGATACATTGAGAACAGCTTATTTTTCTCTGTGTAACTCACATATGTTATATGGTGTTATTTTGTGGGGAAACTCTCCACATGCCCATAAAGTATTTGTGCTACAGAAAAAGATAATCAGAATTATTTTTGGAGCAAATTCCAGAGATCATTGTAAGCCTTTTATTCAACAACTTGGTGCTATGCCATTGTCATCATTATATGTCTATGAGAGTCTAATTGAAATACATAGGAGGAGGGCCGTGTTATGAACCATTTCATAGATACTCATGGTTATGCCATTTGCTACAAACCCCTCGCTATGGACTAAAAAAAATCCGAAAAAAATAGTTTGAATATATCCCTATACAATCAGCTACCCATGACCGTGAAGTTGTTCAGTGATTCTGAATTCAATGGATGTCCCTGAAGGAACGTATAAAGTCATATCCCATCAGGGACATGCCAAGGACGTCCTTGCATGGACATTCTACAATATGTACCACGTGGGACGTCTAAGGGATGCTATTTCTAGGACATTTGATATGATGTACCAGCTGGGACATTCCATGGACGTCCTTGCTTGGACATTGCATAAGATGTACGGGATGGGACGTCCCAAGGACACGTATTTTTGGTTCGAGACATTCGAACGTGAATTGTACCAAATAGGGACGTCCCAAGGACGTTGTGTGCTTTTGGGGACTAGATCTGTGACGTGGAAACAACTGTTTGTAAAAGGTGTAACGCAAATACTTATCACGGATACCGAAAACGTTGAATAACGCAAAACGTGGGAGAAAAGCGACGAAATATAGATGACTTTTGAAAGCATGCAAAATGATCTTTTTTTTTTGCAAATTGTCGAATATTCAGCAAGCAGTAGATATGAGTTGTTTGGTTTGGTGTGTACATACTGACTTAGTTTTATCAGGTGAATGGTACCCTTTTCACACATCAGAATTCCCTAATGATCTTCGCAAATTTTCGTTCATTCGCAGATATTCAATGTTATTCCATATCAAGTTTGAAGATGGAAACTATACACTAAAAGAAAAAGAAACCAGCTCACCAAAATCTGGAACAACTATGATCGATACTATAATTGGCTGAAGATCATGGTCGAGAAGTTGTTTTTGAAGATGGATCAGTATCAAAAAGAGAGAGGATACATTGCATGGCAACCCTAGACTTCTAACGAAAAGACGGACTCCACTATGAGACTTTAACATATTATTTGCTAAGCAAGTTTGTAAGTTTTCTTCCTTCCACAAGAATAAGAATTCTTGATCATCTGCATTCGTTTTCTGTATTTGCAATCAATCAGATGGGATCGGGATTGGGCTCCCATGTTCAAGGTGGGATATTTTCGCCTTGTACGACATTGAAGTGACAGGTTAGGCCATTCTCACTTACACCTTATCCATATTTTGATTGCCTGAAGATTATGATCAAGAATTTCTTCAGAAGTGTGAGCGGATACGGGATATCAAGATGAAATATTTTTGTCTCGGATAGCATGAAACTAAAAGGTGAGGCCAGATCCTTCGATGAATGATACTGACCTCTAAACAAGCTCAGCTCAAAGATACGGAAGACCCGCACCAGCCGTATGACCCGCAGGATGGCCAGCGACATGGCATTCGAAAGTTTTTGTTAATAGAAAACTTCTATCGGCGCTCATGACACAAATTTCCTGAAATTCCTCATTCACTGCTTCGCTGGATAGATTGAGAAACAAAATCGATCAATGTGAAGTCGTTTCACGACTCATTTCAATATCCTAGTATCAAGAGAGAATACATCCATGGCAAGCCCAGACTTCTGAGGAAAAGACGAACTTTACTATGAGACTATGACGTAACATCATCTTCTGAATCCCAGAAGATGTGAAAATAGTTTATTCATTTGATATTAAAAAGAAATTGAGGCTCTAAATGTTCCAGAAATGTTATCTTCATGAATGTCACAGGTGAAGCAAGATTCGTCGACGAACAATGCTGACCTATGAACAAGAAGAATATGAGCAATCCCAGCTCTTGCATGATGGCCTTGAGCGTCCGCTCCCGTATCTGCAGCCCTTTGCTGTGCCTGCTCAGCTTGAAGATACGGAAGACTCGCACCAGCCGTATGACTCGCAGGATGGCCAGCGACAATACATTTGATATTTTTGTAAATAGTTAACTTCGATTGGCGCTTATAACACATATTCCCTGAGAGTTTTCAATCACTGCTTCGCTGGATAGATTGAGAGCTAAAACCGTTCAAGGTCACGTCGTTTCGCGACTCATTTCAATATCCCAGTATCAAGAAAGGATACATTTCATTGCAAGCCTAGACTTCTGACGAAAAGATGGACTTTACTATGAGACTATGACTTGATAGTATCTCCTGATTCCCAGAAGATGTGAAAACAATTTATGTATACAATAATAATAAGATAGTGGGACTCTGAATGTTTCAAAAATGTTATTTCTATGATAATCACAGGTGATTCAAGATTTTTCGACGAATAATACTGACCTATGAACAAGAAGAATATGAGCAAGCCCAGCTCTCGCATGCTAGCCTTGAGCGTCCGCCCCAGTATCTGCAGCCCTTTGCTGTGCCTGCTCAGCTTGAAGATACGGAAGACTCGCACCAGCCGTATGACCCGCAGGATGGCCAGCGACATGGCCTGATTGGTGCTCTTGTCCTGCGGACTGACGGGCGCCCGCGGCAGGTTGAGCGTATCCTCCTCCTCCGCCACCACCGTGGCCAGTGTGATGAAGTAGGGGATGATGGCGATGATGTCGATGAAGTTCATGACGTCGCGGAAGAAGTGCAGCTTGTTGGGGCAGGCGAGGAAGCGCACCGACAGCTCGAACGTGAACCAGACGATGCAGATGGTCTCGATGAGGAAGAACGGGTCGGTGATGTCGGGAACCTGAAAAACAACAGATATCGACCATTTTCACGGTTTCTCCTGTGTTACAGCGATATCCTCTGTTCACAAAAAATCATCGGACCTGCTTCACCAATACAGATTCCAAATTGACTAACACGTGACCGCAACCAACCTCGTTTCACAGAGATTGACTTCCCATACATTTGAAACGTCGATTATGTTTGGAGCCAAAATGATAGATGCATCGTGCGCAATTCTTGTGAGGCGCTCGTTTATGGCCCCAATCATGAAATAGTCATACGAAAACAACTCGTGATACTATTCTTACTTACATACTACAGCTTGCTGCATTCATTACGCTGATGACGTTGTTCCAAACCTCGGAAGTTTGGATAAACAATAATTGCATTCGCGAGATTATCAAGCAACATGCTATGATAACAATATTGGCAAAATATTTAGTATCACTCGTGAAATCACATATTATAATAATATTTATAAAAATGATATGCGTTCAGGGTGAATATATTGCGAACCAACAGCTTTGTTGTGCCCTTTTTTTGTCAAATGTTGAGACATGAGTCATTTTGCTTGAACCTACTTTTCTTTCCGATCAATTGTATTGTATACATAAGGGTTGAATACACTGCGACCTTGGAGCTTTATTCAGCTCCCTTCTTTTACTATACCGGCAGGTTGGGTAGCTTTTTCTACTCTATCAAGTGTGCTTCTGGGATTTTAGGCCTTGAGTTCTGCGAGAATGTGATCATAAGTTTTCTCCTACTCCCCACAGAACTCACATCCCTTTTTCTCTTATTAGATGAGTTTCATTAGATGTTCCTTCAATCGACAGTGTCCTGTGAGAAATCCGTTGAGTATACGATGTTCATTTTATTAAGCTGACATATGCGTTTGATATTTTGTAGTGTTGTGTACACAGTAGTATCTGGATCTGTGTAAAACCATGAAGATGTTTGATACCTGTTCGAGATCTTCTTTCTCAATTTCTTCTGTATGGATACTGCTGCTCATCCTGCAGGAATGTTCTGGTCGCTACTTCATTTTCCTCCTCTACGGAATGTCCCGGAACCCATAGAAGGATATACTCTTGTTGGCTAGCTCGTTTATTTCTCTCGAAATATCCCAAACCATAAGAGAGGTAATACCCATGGGGCTCTAGGCTCCAATAGTTGCTCGATTATGGGACATGATTCGATCTGGTCTCCCATAGTTATTTTATAGGTTGACGTATACACACTCAATCATAATCTGAAGGTAACGTTCTGTGTCAAACCATGAAGATGTTTGATACCTGTTCGAGATATTCTTTCTCAATTTCTTGTGTATGGATACTGCTGCTCATCCTGCAGGAATGTTCTGGTCGCTACTCCATTTTCCTCCTCTACGGAATGTCCCGGAACCCATAGAAGGATACTCTTGTTGGCTAGCTCGTTTATTTCTCTCGAAATATCCCAAACCATAAGAGAGGTAATACCCATGGGGCTCTAGGCTCCAATAGCTGCTCGATTATGGGACATGATTCGATCTGGTCTCCCATAGTTATTTTATAGGTTGACATATACACACTCAATCATAATCTGAAGGTAACGTTCAACGACCATGACTAACAATAAGTGGCCAGAAGAAGAAGGGGATGACGGCGATGATGTCGATGAAGTTCATGACATCGTGGAAGGAAAGCAGCTTGTTGGGGCATGCAAGGAAGCGCAACCACAGCTTGAACGTGAACCAGATGATGCAGATGGTCTCGATAAGAGAGAAAAGGGTCGATGATGTAGGAAACCTGAAAATTGAATTCTCAGGATGACATGAGCATCGAGAATACGGATAAATTGAAGGTGATGTGTGTGTATGTGGACGGTTTGAGACCTGACGCACTCAGACACCTCTCCGAGTCCATTGTGCACCTAAAATTACTAAGGTCGTCAGCTATGGAGAATGCAAATTTCGATAGAAACAGATACCATCTTCTCAGGTCTAATCTTTTCTACATCCTCTGGGTTCAGAATGCCACCTCCAAGATGCATACTTGCTTGCATAACTTGTTGCACTATTGTTGGTCATACATCAGTAAGGATGTGACTGGAAATTTATTCATCTCCTGAGACTCGTCTACATTCCAATCGTATCATGATGCGTGTTGAAGTGGAATCGCACTTTCAGAAGTCCCATCACTAGTTTGTCTGACTTCGTGACGAATATCCCAGGTGGAGTCTGGACTGCCGGCATCCCGGAGTCGATCGAGTAATTCCTAAGATTTGCTGGTCAGACCATCAGCTATTTTATTGTCAGGTAACCGTGAGTGCTCAAGGCCTCATATAAAACATACCTCATTCGTCGCCTTCAACCTTTTGCAGGCGGTTTATGTACTCAGACACCAAGAAGATAGTCACTCTATTATACGGAGTCAGTTTTTTCATCTCTTGGAGCGAACGGAAGAAGATTCCTAGAATGTTTGGAGAACATCGTGCGTACCTATGGGGAGGATAGGGAGAGGAGGATGGTGTTTTTGAACTTCTGGAGTTTATAAGTACTTGGGAATACTTCCATCGCCAACGTACTCTGAAGCATTGCCGTTTTATGGACGACGTTTAATGGTGAAGTGTTGTTCAAAATATTTCAATATTCTTGGAGGCAGGCCATAAACCCCAGCACCTATGAATTCATTCATCTTTGAGCCTTTTGTGAACCTATGATGTCTTTGGTGGGTGGTATGCAATGCTAATTCTCTTTTAAGCCCATTCTAGTAGGAATTTTGAATTAGAGCATTCTCCTGAATCAAGCGATCGATGATTGATATTCTTCTTCAAACCAATTGAGAAATGATCACCTATAATCTGCTTCGTATTTCTTTTCGTTACCACGCACCAAGCGATTGAAAAACAGTGTGAAGAAAACTCCTAGCGTTCCAGAGCAGTGGGACTCTGTAACTCAAAGCGAAAGCGAAAGCATGCGTAATCGACTGCTTTTGCCGTTTCGGTACTTTGTATCAATATTCGGATGAGGTCGGAGACGCCGAACGTGAGTTCGTAAGCGAAGCAGAAGCGAAGGATTTTGGTTGCCGCTTTCTGCGATTCCCAACGATTGAGGTTATAGGTATTGGTTTTTGTTGTTGTTCCTAGTTCGAACTTTGTGTTGATTTAAGAAAAATAATAGATTGATAAATGAGGAATGAACCCAAACATGGATAACAAAGCGAGCAAAAACACAACTCAGTCAGTGCCGTCAGTGGGACAGATTCCTCAGTTTTACGAACAAAATCCTAAAGATATTCCAGAGAGATGGAAGTTTCCTTTGGTAGGATTAAGGTAGGGGATGAAAGAACGTGAGACGTGAGATAAAAAATATGATAGACAGTGTGATGAAAACATACAGCTCATTTGGTAGTTGAAAAATAAACTGAAAACTGTCATTAGTGCTGTTGAATAGGATCTGGAATAATTCATATTCATTAGAATTATCCTTCTCTTTCAGATTCCTGGATACATCAAAATAGGCAGATATAAGTAGCTTCTCCAGAAAATGAAATGTGCCATTACTGAATGTTGTCTCACTGAATCCTTGTTAAGAAAAATATGTCTTTGGTGTGAGTCCATTGAAGAAGTCAATAATAGGTAATCAAGGAATCCTAGTAATATAATATGCCGATACCTACAACAGTTGAACATAACAGAAAGCCTGGAACGATCAAATTTGAAAAATTTGCATAATAAGTGCATTAGAAGGGAAAATAATTTGGATAGCAAAAACCTTGGAGACACCCAAGAAGAACTACCGGTGTGATATTACTGTGTACCAAAAAGGAAGAATCAAGAGTAAATTCCATGAAACAGGATTAACTGAACATTATTTACTATGTTGAACAAGAACAAGAACGGATTCTACTTTCACTACATTAATAATTCCATCCAAGATTCTAAAGTGAACTGTAAGAAAAAGTGCATCTGTATAAATGCACTGTCAACATATTACTGCCTTGCAGAAGGCGATTCAAGGAATTATATGTGCTTATCATCTTGTTCAATTTGCGACATATAGTATGTAAATAATAATATACTGAGTGTTAGATTATAGAATGATGGGTCCATTATAAATATAAGCAGTTACATATCTTACAATATTATTGTTATTCTCAGATCATTTGCCTTTACTAGTTGCATATAAATAGAAAGCTATTCCTGAGATATACCTACCTAGTGAGAATTTTGATACCAATTTTTGATATGAACAAAGTAGGTACATATTTTCCAATGAGCTGCTCTGTGCAGAATAAGTTCTTATTTGGCTGATTACTATTTTTGTTGGCCTTGATGTCAATATCTGTTTGTAGTCAATACATTCATTCCAATTTATAGAAATGAATCTTCTTCATATGTGCTTTATTTCTGATTGAAACAAAAAATTAACAATACAATAATTCGTAAATGCCGCTTTTTTGATCCAATGGGATGTTTCCTTTGAATAAATGGGATCCGCAACACTGTTGCCAAATTTAACTCCACCAACATCGTTCTATTTCTTATGAAATCGTATGACGATAGCGAAAGCATAACGAACTACATATAGAGTACCGGAAAGCGAAGTCGTATACTTCGCTTCGTTTCGCTTTCGCTACGCTTTCGCTATGCGACACAAGTTCCTCAATATGGTATTCGTCGTTGAACGGGATGATTTCTGAATCGCGGTCACGAACCACATAATATAAGTTTAAACTCACCTCGTCCTCTTCGATCTTGGTGCCGTTCGTCGTCGTGTTGAACACCTTGTAGTGCTTGAACTCGGGCAGCGTCTCCAGACAGAATATCACGATGGAGAGCAGGATGACGAAGACGGAGATGATGGCGACGACGCGGGCCGCCTGCGAGCTTTCCGGGTACTCGAACAGCAGCCACACGTTGCGCTGGAACTCGGGGGTGGGCAGGGGCTTCTCCTCCTCTTTGATGAAGCCCTCGTCCTACGGAATAGTTAGCAGATTCATGCAATCATCTGCTTCTAGAAAACTACAGTTCTCATGAAGATAATATTGTTCATGAACAGAGTTTTATTATGTTCGAAATGAGCTTCCATCATCTACATACCATCCAGAGTTATGTGTTTGAACCGGAACACCCTGTTTATTTTTCCATATTTGAAACATTGATACTTTGCGCGGAATAAATAACATTCAAACAATATTTTAAGTATCAGCATTGAATTTAGATCATTCACAATTTTTAACTATATTTCTTATTGATTCGTTGTGGAAGTGTGGCGATATTCTCGAAATTTCAATATCATGAATTTTTATATTTAACCTGTTGCTGACAGAATGTTTCGTTACACACAAATTAGAATTTTACCAATATTCAGTACACAGCTTTGCTTATGATAGTATCATCCATACCGCCTTTCCTTCTATGGCTCCAATACCAGCCAGGCATATCAGAAACAAACAAGGGAGAAATGTTGACATCATAAATATGGACTTGGCAACAATTCTCGAATAGATTTCAATGCAAATAAAACACAAGCATGCCTTTTCTCTAGAAAAAACGATCTCACTGTGCTCAACATCAGCTTGTCAGGAGTAACCATACCTTTGAAGACATTAATTTCGATGCTTGGTATCACTATCAGCAATAACCTTTCGTGGAGAAATCACGTGAGATCAATTGCTAAAAGTGCATCCCAAAAACTCGGTTTTTTGTTTCGTGCCAGGAGCTATTTTACTTCCAGTCAGCTACCTATGATCTATTAGGTACAAATTCGACCTGTCCTGGAATACTGTTTCCATATTTTGAGTGCAGCACCCAAACATACCCTGAAACTGTTGGATTCTATCCAAAAGAGGGCAATTCGTCTCGTGGGTGATGCCTTGCTCACGAACACACTCACTTCTCTGGAACCCCGTAAAGAAGTTGGCAACCTGACTCTATTTTATAGATATTTTCATAGACGATGCTCTTCTGAAATATCAACAATTGTTCCTCCCTTGGCAGTCTCCGCGAGATTCACCCATCGAGTTGAGGCCTCGCACCCTTTCGTGGTCACTTTGTAGACCTGCAGAACATCTTCTTCCAAAGACTCGTTCATCCAACGAACAGCAAGGCTCTGGAACACATTGCCAAGAAAGGTGTTCCCTGAGGCATATAACCTCCAGAATTTCATGAAGAACACCAATTACTACTTTATTTCCCTTGGTTTTCACGATGTTCTCTGAACATTACAGGATATCTTTTTTCGTGGAAACCAGAACATAAAAATGAAAAATTATAGTAGCTGTGGACCTAATTAGTAGGTGGCAATGAGAAAAGCGTGGGCAGAGTTTACAAATTTTTTATACAATGGCGAATAATGATCCAGGATATCAAAACTGCGGAAGAGATTATACAGTGTGTTTCAGACTTGAATGTACATACGATACCTGTAGATAGAGGACACTATGGTGGTTCCAAATCACCCCCATCGATATGTCTACCGTCTTTGATAACTGAGATACAGGACGTTATCTTGATATGGGCAAAATCTTCATCTGGTTATAACTTCTGAACCACTTTGTATAATCTATCCATACTTGGTAGAAATATTTCACTTATATTACCCATCATGACCAAAAGGAAATCTGGATCAGAATCCAGGTCCGTCTTGAGAAAAAACAGAAATCTTCTTTTATCTCAAAAACAACACTCTGTATGGCAAAATATTATTGATCGGTTTCGATATTTGGAATGAGCGGAGAGAAATTAATGAAGTGACCTACTTTTTACGAGTGCGCATCCAATTTTAAAAATGGTTCATCATCCTGTTTTGAAATATTGAGCTCCATTTCGAGGCATTTTTATTGAACTCATAATTCAAAACCCAATTTTTATATAGAATCCAAAGTTCAACATCATTAGAGTCAAATTAGGTGAACTATCGATGAATTCATTTGTTTGACAGAATAATTTGTCGATGATTCTTAAAATTTTCGAGGACTCATTTCATACTTTACTATTTATTCATAAGCTGCGGTAAAGTAGGCTGTGAAGAAGAAATTGAAATTCTGACAGTTCATAATCATTATAGTTGCGATATTATTGGTAAAGTTATTGTAGGCACAATTATGAACACTTTGAAATGTAACAACCCAATACAAGCACCAGAAATAATTATCTAAACATTACAAATAATATCACACTAGTGATTATGACCTGTCAGAATATCAGATTTTTTTTGCACAGCCTATTTAACCGCAGCTCGTGAATTAATAGTGGAAAATAAAATGAGCCCTCAAAAATGTATGATACCATAGACAAGTGATTCTGTCACAACAAATCTATCGATAGTTCACCTAATTTGACTCTAATGATGTTGAACTTTGAAGACTGTTATTTTTTTGTATTAAAATTGAATTTTGAATTATGAGTTCAGTAAAAATGCCTCGAAATGGAGCTGAATATTTCAAAACATGATAATGAACCATCTGTCAAAGTAGATGCGCACTCGTAAAAAGTAGGCCACTTATTTCATCTTTTTCCGCTCTTTCCAAATATCAAAACAGACCTAAAAAATTTTGCCATACAAGGTATTGTTTTTGAGATAAAAAAAGTTTTCTCTTTTTCCTCAAGACGAACCTGGATTCTGATCCAAATTTTTATTTTGTTTTGATGGGTAATATGAGTGGAATATTTCAACCAAGTATGAATAAATTATAGAAAGTGGTTCAAAAGTTATAACCAGATGAAGATTTTGCCAAAATCAAGATAACGTCCTGTATCTCAGTTATAAAAGACGGTAGACATATCGATGGGGGTGATTTGGAATCACCGAAGTGTCCTCCATCTAGAGGTATCGTATGTACATTTAAGTCAGAAACACCCTGTATATTATGGTTAGGATATGAGTTGGTTTCTGATTTCTCATATAGTTTTGATATTGTAAACTGATTGCAAGAATTACTATAAAACATTCTGCAATCGCAATTTTCCCATAGCTACCTACTATGTATATTGGCAAATAATAAATGTTGGTGAAATTCAAGCTATTCAGTGACTTGACACCCTGTAAGCAACAGGGATCATATAAAAATTCATGATATTAAAAATAGTGCTACACATCAATTTACAAGGCGGATCACTAAGAAATATATTCAAAAAATTCAAATTATCTAAATTCAAGGCTAATACTCAAAATATTGTATGAGTAGTGTTTGGGATCACACATTTAAAGGTGAGGCCCTCGTTATTTCTTGCTCGCACAAGTCTCTCGAAGACTTCTGAGGGTTGCTCGTAAGGCGGCAACCGAATGAAGGGTAGAACAATTTCAGAACAAACAAATTCAGAACAATTCTTCAGTATCATACACTTTTGAAAAGAGCGAAGCATCAATATTCCAATTACGGAAAATATACAGGGTGTTCCTCTTGAAAAACCTATTTATCGGTTACATATACCTGAATAATATCAGCTGATTTTGACATTTGACAAGACCACTTGATTCCACGTGAGAAATTATTAACAAGACAGTTATCACTCTTCCTATAATATGAGAGATAGCAAAAATACAGGATTCCCTAAATGCAACATTTTCAATTCTGCCCTGTATTTCAGAAGCGAAGCGGCCAATAAAGAATTCCCAACGAAGTGGAAAATGTTCGCGAGAAGCGACATCTATTGTCTTAGGACAAATACTGTATCTGCTTCATATTCAAAATATCACGAAAGTTGGTTTAGCGAGTGATTATACCATATATGCAGACGATACAGTGCTTTTATACGAAAACAAAAACTGTGATGAATAACGATCTGAAATTATTCGAAAAATGGCTCCACTCTAACCTTTCATCAATAAATACCAGAAAAACTGAATACATGATTCTTCAACAAAACAATTAACAGAAAATGCAGCTCAATCTTCAAATGAAGAATGGATTCTTGAAACAAACTGAACAGATGAAGTATTTAGGTGCTTGGTATAGTAAAAAATTGAAGTGAAACAAACATATTGAGGTTCTGACGAGAGAAATATCTCCTATTATTGGGGCATTGAGAAGATGCCCCAAACTCAATATGAAAATTACAAATATAGTACTAAGTCGAATTAACAACTGAATTAATGTTAGAAGATCTCGTTCTGAAAATAATTTCAATAAAATATCAACATTGTATAGGAAATCATTTAAAGTATTGTATCGTCTTTCATATGATACACCAACAACTGAACTGTATGTCTTAACAAAATCATATTCTCTAGAAGAACTGTACAGATTGGAGACTCCAAGAAATTCATATAATATAATAAATGAAAAATTGGAATCTGATATTATTTTGCAGAAATATAGGTTCATTCGAGAAGAAAATGAAAAATAACTGATAATTTCTGAGAGAAATGTTTAAAATTTATCAGTAAGTTATGTCCTTGACTAGAATGCTTTTCTCTGTTCATTGATCGTTTTGTGTCATTGTGATTTATTGTGATATCCTGATTCATTATTCATGTTCACTTCTGCTCATGTTTGAGTAGTTCATAGATATAATTTATTACTTGTTATTTTATAATTATGTTCTTCCTCATACCAGAACTACACCTCTTTCAATTGTAATTCAGAAAGTATGAGATGTAATCCAGAGAGTTTAGGTTGTAATTCAGAATAGTTAATTGTAATCCAGAAATCATAACTTAAAATTTAGATTAGTTAATTGTAATTCAGAAAGCGTAATATGTAATTCAGATTAGTGAAATGTAATTCAGAAAGTGTAACTTGTAATTCAGAATGGTGAAATGTAATTGAAAAACCGTCAATTGTTATTCAGAAAGCATAACTTGTGATTCAGAAAGTATCACTTCAGAAACTAGGAACAACCTGTTTGCATCCATTCTCCTTGAGACTTCAACGTAAATCAAGGTACCAACAATCAAATACATGTTGTTATAGAAAGTAACTACAAAATATCAGATAAATGCCAGATAACTGCGATAATGCACCTTGCCATT